TGTTAACCACACATCTGTTAGCATCTGAACTCTGACAACACCAAATGCTAACAAAGATGTAGAGCAACGGGAACTCTCAAACATTCCAGGTGGGAGTGCAAAATGGAACAGCTACTCTGGAAGACAATTTGGCAGTTTCTCACAAAATGAAACATGCTCTTACTATGTGATCCAACCATCACACTTCTTGTTGGTATTTACCCAAAGAAGTTAAAAACTGATGTCCATCCAAAAAACCTGCACACTGTTTACAGCAGCTTTATTCACAATTGCCAAAAACTTGGAGGTAACCAAGATGCCCTTCAGTAGGCATGACAAACATGCCTTGCAATACATACAGACAATGGAATATCATCCGGCATTAAAAAGAAACGAGCCCTCAAGCCATGAAAAGGCATGAATAAAACTAAAATGCATTATTACTAACTGAAAGAAGCCAATCTGAGAAAGCTACATATGATTCCAACTATATGACATTCTGGAAAAGGCAAAATCATACAGAATATAAAAAGGTCAGTAGTTGCCAGAGGTGGGGGGCGGGGTGAGCCATAATATGAACTACGGCTCACCATGAGTGAGCCATAATATGAACTACGGGCTTTGGGTGATACTGAAGTGGTAATTCAAGTTCATCATTTGTAACAAAGGTACAAAGGCGTGTTGCTAATAGAGGAGGCTATGCATGTGTGGGGGTGGGGGATAGGTGGGAAATCTGTGTACCTTCTCCTCAGTTTTTTTGTGAAGCTTAAACCGCTGAAAAATAAAAATCAGTCCTAGCTCTGCCTGCTATTTTGGAGAAGTTATCTGACTTTTACAAGCCCTAGTTTCTTCATGTATAAAATAGGTATCATAACAATTTCTACTTCCTAGAGCTGGTCTGAAGAGTTAATGAGAGGGCATATGAGAAAGTTGGACACAGTGGTCAAGAATTAGAACGTGACCATTTCTTTTGGAAGCAGAGAGCATACGAAACCTCTTCTTCCATTACTGTGTTGGCTTTTCCACTGAACTGGGTGAGTAAGGGAGGGTGAAAGCGCTGAACTGCTTGCTGCTTTGTTGGATGAGACCATGCCATGCTTCGTGAAGAGAGCCAAGGGCAACAGGACACAACCAAGGGTTTGGTGCGCCATATTGTTTATCCTATCTTGCTATTCAGATCCAGGTCATCATGTCTGCAAAGCACCAAGCTTGTCCCCTGGGCCACCTCCCTCCTAAAGTTTGACATTAGCCAGCTGCCTAGGGTTTCAATCCATGAAGCTTCTTACTGCCCTGGCCCACACCAGAAAGGCAATCCCACAAGAGCACCCTGGCCCACTGGGCAACCACTTACCCACGTCGGCCCCACTGAGTGCTTTCCCCAGTGGCCAGGGCCTCAAGTCGATTCGCTTCCCATTGACGGTGAGCGACTGCACACAGCCTTGAAAGCCTCTGTTTGTTCCTGTTGCTCTGACCAACCAGTAAGCACTGGGAGCCCCACCAAGATAGAGGGGCGTCCGGAAGGTAATTTTACTGTACTGGCCCTGTAAGAAAGAAGAAAACCGTAACTCACTAAACAAAATCAAAAGCCAAAACACAACAGATTTTAATGAGGGACATGGTTAAGATGTAGTTTACAGCCCCACTGCTTTCTTCCATCTGTGTTTATGTTTATGACATTGCCTTACTGGAAAATTAAACCCCTGGTTACCGTAGGAAACTCAGTGAGCTCCTCAGAGGGCTGTGTTTCGAGAAGGGATGATTTTGGAAGCCTAGAAGGGAAGGGAAGGTAGGTCAGAGCCAAGAGCAACCCAACGGGCAGGGTACTGGGCCGGGCATCCAACAAAAACTTTGTCTTTCCAGTCTTGACACCAACTTACTGTGTACCTTGGATGGTTCACAGGGTTATTCTGCGTCTCAAAAGATGATAATGCTAATTTTGTGTATATGTGGGCCAACGCTTACCTTTCCTATTCCCAGCCACCTTTATACTATATCCTGCAAGAAACATCGTGTGTGCGGGGGAGGATTGCCACACAAATTGTGTTGCAAAATATTTTGAAATTTGCTCATGGATACCACTTGTGTGTGTGTGTGTGTGTGTGTGTGTGTGTGTGTGTGTGTGTGTGTGTTACTACGGTGAAGTAGGGACATTTCTAATCTTAGAGAAAACCACAAACTGGATTGCAGGTTTTGAGGTTACAAAACACAGACCTGAACATTAGGTGGGACAAAATTAAGGCACCCTTGGTCATTTTTTTTTTTTATTACAGAAATATTTCATTCATTTGGATTAAAGGGGACTGGGAAAAAGCATGTTGCCAGAATTTTTAAAGTCCAGAAGGTAAGCCACTGAAATGTGGCAAACGAAATGTTGCCAACAAATAGAACATCTAATCGTTACTTTATATTTTCTAATGAATGGATAAGAATCATTTATAAATAGTGTGCTGAATGTGAGCGAGGCAGCTGTAAAGTGCTTACAGTGAATTGTAAGGACTGTTTGCCAGCCTCTGGGCACACTGCTTTTGTGGGATGAACTGAATGCCCTGTTGGCTTATTTCGTTAAGATCCTCAGAACTCACTCCTGAAACCCATCTTCAGTCTGTTCCCTGATTCAGGACTGTACCAGGAGCCTGACCACTTAGCGCTTTTTTCCTTTTCTGGAACAGCAACCCTGAGCCCCCCTTACAACGTCCCAGGCAATAGTCTGGTAAAAGCTGGCTTTTACCTTCCTCTGGTGAGGGTTGCTTTGGGTTTCTGGAGCCTGCTTTGCCTACGAGGCAGAGAATTCGAAGTGCCCTGGAGTTCTCATTTCCCCGACACAGCACTTAACAGTGTTTGATGGGTGCCAAAGTGTGAAAGTCCAATTGACCAGCTTTGGGTTGGGACCGCTCTGAGGTATAACTTATACTGCAGAGCTCCCCTAGGGTCAGGCTGAAGCCAGACAGACCCTGAAGAACTTTGCAAACCTTGATATAAGACAGAGTCACTATCTCCCAAGATAGTTTACTAAACATTCCACAGCTGCTGTCCTGCTTATACAGCTTGCTAGCAAGTCCCGGGAGGAGAGCGGCAAACGCTGCCCTGAGTAGCCATAAAATTGTATGCTTCTTGCAATTAATTCTTATATTCATTCAAAGGATAAGATTGGCAAAAATACAAACACTCATATAAGCCAAGCTCACATTGACTTCCGGAGCCGTTGTATTATCCCTACCAAAAGGTTTCGGTAACTTATTTTTTCAACACCCCCAAGGACAGGACAGGAAACCGTCTCCTGAGATAGTCCTTTGCACTTCTGTGCACTTTTGTATGATTAAGTGGAGTTAAAATTACTCCCTTAGGCTCTCCCATTCAACATCAGCCTGGGGGTGGGGGGGGAGCACAGAGTAAGTCCTTCTCTCCCCAAATTCCCTCTCTGATTCTATGAAAAGGCACCATCGACACCTTCACCTTCTTTTCTCCAAACTAAACAATGCTCCTTCAATGAATCACTCCAGGGATTTCAGGTCAGTTTCCTGTTTCAATGATTGCCTTCATGTTCCAATATGTCTGTGGTCCTCTTAGAGGACCTCTTCGAGTACAATCACAGAGCTGAATGCAATCCTCTTAGAGGATTAGAGTTACCATTAGAGCACTGGAAGCTATATACAGGGCTACTAGGATATCATACGATCATCACCTCGCTTTTTCTAGATGCTATGCCTCTATTAATACAACTTGTAATTTCTTCAGCTTGCTGTTACCACATGGCTCTGCTTATTAACCTTTACTGAACTTCCTTGCTTCAAAACATAAGACATTTTCACATGTGTTGTTGCTTTTATTACAGCTTCTCTGCCCTATATTCACTATTACTATTTTGGATCCAAGTTCAAAGCTTCTTTATTCCTATCAAACTTAATTTTAATCATATTTAGGGCTATTGTTCTGGGATTTATGTGATTCTGTAGTTCATTTATCCTGTCTTTTTTCCTTAGAAGTACATGCATATATGCATAAGCGATCTCACTGGATTCATATTCTCTATATTTGGATTCTTGTTCCTTTGGAAGCTTTGGGGTCCAAATTAATGGGAATCAGCAAAGCATGGCTCTTTATAGGATATATCTTGCCAGTAAAAAAGTCCAGGCAGGGAGGAAGCTATATACATATACACAAAGGTTTTCTTGCTACATTTTTCCTGAGAGAACACAGACACCTGCCTGATTATAATTACACACTCCGTTCCTTGGCAGGTTGCTAATCCAAACTGTTTATTCTAAACATGGTTCTGAAATTGCCCAGAGCATGACGAATATGTGAATACCTAGGTGATTTACTGAGTAGCCCCACAGTTAAATTGTTTTACCGCTTCCTATAACCATGGCCCCCCAAAATGGTAGATGAAAGGATCATTCCTGCATATTGAACCAAGTGAAACTTTCCGAACTCTTTGTTAAAGCCACAGAATTGCAACACCCTTGCCTTAAAAGCAAGCTTTGTGTTTGGCACTAATAATGGCTTCTATTCTTCTGATACAGGCCTTCTTCTACCCCTGGCTTTGATGTCCTTGTGGAAAAAGAACATGTCCCTGGGCACAAAGCCAACTGCATGCTTCTGCGCCCCCACAGTAATGACGCTTGCAAATCCGATTCTGCTCCTCAGTAGATGTGGGATGGATGTGTGCCCTGAAAGCCCACCGAGAGTGGTAAGAGCCACTGAGATGCAGGAGCATCTCAGAGCTGGGGTGCACGGGTTTGCTACGAAAACCAGGCCATCCAGAGCTTGCATCCCGCCAGCGTGGCCTGAGCTCGGCAGCAGGGCCCTCTTGGGACGCGCATGGTGGGTGCTGGGTGGGTGGGCAGGTTGGGAGGCTCACACTCACCTGGGACTGGCCAGTCGCCGGGGTGCCATTGTTCAGCTGCAACAGCCCGTTCAGCCCATCTCTGTAGAGTGTAACCGTGTGCCAGCCCCCCAGTTTGATTTTGGTTTCACTTATAATGATGCCAACCCCAGTTCCACAATTAAACCTGTGGGGAAGAAAAAAAAAAGAAAGAAAGGCTTTTTGATCAACCAGCTCGTTATGCTTTCAGGCCCCACGGATACCACTTCTGGGGCAATGGCTTCTCTGAGAGTCAATCTGTTTAGTTACGTTTATGAATATCAAGGACTGTTTAAATCTCTACAGGAAAGAGCTAAACACCTGCTTTCTGGGCCAGCCTCAATCTACTTATCTTAATCTGCCCGCAGACCTTTCAAATGTGGGGCCTCCTTCAACCTGATTTTCTCTGCAGCTTCGAAAACGATGGGCAACTAAGATCCTCCCCCTCCTTCTCAGTGACTGCCAGATGCTTCAAGTGGATCCCAAGAGCAGAGAATTAGAACTTGAGTCATTTTGCTTCCAGGTATTTCTCTGGGGACTTCCCCCAACTCCCAAATGACAGGCTCCAGCAATATTATTTAAATGTCAAAAAACACTCATTTTGGCCAGCTGGCTAGCACTGCCATCTGTGTTCAGCTGTGCCCAAATGCAGGTGCAGTTTCCATAGGGGGGAGGCATGGGCAAAGGGGGAACATTCTCAGATGATTGCTTTATTCTTGTTTTTGCTTTGTTTTTTCTCCCAACTTCCCTATGGCCCAGGGTACCCACCAGTCACTATGCCTTACACCCATGATTTTGACCCTTTGCAGTCAACTTCCAGGCAGCCACCATGCCACTCCCCAACAGATCCTGAGATGGCCAGTAGGGAAGGACACATGACCAGCATTGTCCTTCTCAGGACGTGCACTAATTACAGTCCCTTCTCATGGCTTCCCTTTGTCTCCACGATCCTCAGTGGACTGAAATGGGGTTGAGAGGCATTGCAGAGCAGGCTCATCTAGAGGGGGATACCAGAGTCCACAGCAGCTGCCCAGTTGGAGAGTGGCCAGCAGCCAATCACAGCCAATGCCACTGGGAGTCTATCAGATCCTTCAAGGGTGAGAACCACTGCCCCAGGTCCTGGCCCTGAAATCAAACTCCCATGAATCAAAGCATTTAGCAGAGGATAGGGGACCACTGTCTACCCCAAGTGGGATGTTTCAGTCTTCTTCAGCTTAACCCAAATAATTTTTGTGCTGAAATAATCAAAAGACAATGATAGTTAATGCTTATTGAGTGCTTGCTATGGGCCAGGCACTGCTCTAAGCACTTGTATGTATTAATTCACCTAATCCTCACAAGAGCCCTGGGAGAAAATGCAGGCTCAAAGAGGTACAGTCACTTGCTCAGAGTCAGGGAGCAGAGGAGCAGTGCCATCAGGATCTTAACCAGTACACTATGGAGAAGGACAAGGCTGATCCTCATCGGTCATTCTCAGATAGGTGCTTGTGTACCCTTGAGGGTGGCCAAAACACTCACACCTTCACAAAACTCTGCCCCCAGAAAACCACACGCAAACCAAAGATGGCTTCCAAGATATATTGGGAGAGAAATGACTAGGGCAGAGGAGGAACACCAGACAGCCTGCCACAGCCAGAGGGAAAAATAGGGATGGGCTCTGAGCCTCTGGGAGCCCTCAGGAGGTTGTAGGCTCCTCTCTGCTCCCCAGGGATGTCAGTCCGACCTACCACAGGGGACAGGGAGAAGATCTCAGCCTCCTTCCCATCACATCCACTAGGGCTGTAGGAGCAAAGGGACTAGATCACTTAGGCTCACTGTTGCATTCACAGGATCTACAACAGTCCCTGGTACACCGTGGGTGCTCAAGAAATATTTCCTGTTGAACGAATGGATGGTTACAGGGTTCTGAAACTCAAGTTCCAAGGGTGACCCTGCAGTCCCGATAAGCCACTATTTAGTAACCTTTATCTCCAGGAAGCCATTCCATGTATTTTTTACTCTATAAAAATGTAAAAACATAATGTAGGATGGTATTTTAAAAATCTGTGGGATTTTAGTGAGAGTTACCTGAATTGGAGTGAGCGTCGGATGATGGCCAGAGACATGAAGTCACCCCTCCCGTGTTCATTCTCCCCGCAATAGAGCAGTAAACCATCCTCTGCCTCCGCCTGTTGTACAAACGCACGCCACGCAAACAATGAGCACCACCTGGAAACACTCATGAATATGAAACCTGAGCATTCTCCCTGTGGTCCTATTTACAAAGGGGCAAGCTCATGGACTCCAATTAACTCCCAGTTGCCAATTCTCAGTTCTTTTCCCTTTAAAAAACGGCAGCGATATAAATAAACAGTGTGTGACAAATGGCAGTGAGGTTAGAGAAAGGTGACTCCGCATTTGACCTGCTCTTTACTTGGCTTTGTGGGTCCACCAGCAGAGCTTCGGGAAAATGTGTGCAGAGACCACGGTCACAGAGAGGCTGTTTGCGTGTCCATCAAATTCTACTTCCACCAAAGAGCACTCTATTTGTTTTTGGTTTTGTTTTCATTCTTTTTACTTCCCTCCCTGTGGAGAAGCATGCAAATTTGCTTCTTTCCTTCTGTCAGGAGAACAGGACGATAAAATCAGCCCCACTGACAGACTAGTTTGGTTTTCACCCATGTTGGCTGCCCCAGCCGGAGACAGATCATCTTTTGGACGATCTCAACACTCAACACACTCAACACTGTGATCATGATCTCAAAGGAGGCTTGTTTCCAGGTCTCAAACCTTGTTGTCTGAGATGCCCGAAAGAATAACTTGAAGCTGAAGTCGCTGATTGAATTCTGATGTGCAGTTGATTCAAATCAGAGAGCGTCCGCTGGGCCCTCACTATGTGCGAGGGCTTTGTATAGCAGCTTTCCTATTTGTTCAGCTACAGCCATAGCATTGAGGGCAGACATTTGGGCTCCCTCTAAAAGGGATTTGGGAATGGGGAATGCATTATACCTCTGAAATCCTGGCCTGTGAGGAGTCACAATTATGAGCAACAGAGCTGGGACCTACACATTCTCATTGGTCGGCCAGTCATTTCCATAGTTCAGTAGCATACAGGACCCACCCTCCACTCGCTGGCACCCTTGAATGTGTGAACGTGCCCAGTGTTCTCACTACCCTGTGAACAGGTTTCAGGACAGGCCCTGTGTCATATTTACCTTCTCTACTTACCTCCCTGCTTCCTGCACCCCCACCCGACCACATCTGATGTGGCACAATGATGTGTTAAGCTGCCCATCCAATAGGCATTCATCAAACAACTAATCCTTCTTACCCTAAATTCAAGAGTAATTTGAAATGCCTGATAGGAGTTCTTCAGAGGTTCAAAGGTTACAAAGGAGTGGCCAAAGAACTGAGGATACTGTATAACAATATCTAAAAAGAGAAAAAGATAACATAAAAAAATGTTATTTCCTCACTTCTTCAAGTGCAAAAATCAATATATGCCGTTGCCCAGATATCATTAAGTGAAAACCCCTAATAATCTATTAAACCTAGCTCATTATTGTCTCTACTTTTTACACTTATGATTCTCATTCTTGGGGACTTAGAGCTTCTGAAATTCTTAGGGAGAAACTGGAGATTGTTAAATTGCTACCTAAAAAGAAATCAATGGCTTTAAGACCACTGACACCTGTTTTCCAGCTGTACATTTGTGTAAGTGTAAGTTGGCTCAATTATTATCTTTCTTAACCTTCACGCAACATGCTTCAGCTGCATGTTTTCGGTAGAGATGTGATCAAAGTAAAGTCCACCTCTCCAAGGTGCCTTTAGGATGATTAATTGCTTCAAAAGTACTACATGTGTGGCACACATAGACACAGGGCTGCTATTCAACTAGAAGCAACAGAAGTTGCCTTACCTTTTTCCTGTGTAGCTAATTTAATCACGAGTACATAGAAAAAGGGGCTTCTCTTAGAAAAAGGGCTAGAAGAAACCACGTGTGGACCACAAAACTGCCCTCTGGCTCCCAATGGGACCAACCTCCCTACCACATTCTTTTCCCGACCAAGGGCCTACCTTCTGAGCAGCTCTCACCACCTCTGCCCAGGTTGCAGTGGCACCGCGAGCCCCCCCAGGTGTAGTCATTGACACAAAAGCTGTCAGCTGAGCAGAGCGTTTCATCACAAGACATGTCAAAGAGCCTCGGCATTACAGCCACACCATTCTTCCCTTTCCTCTCCGCTGGAGTGGGCTGAGGAGCCACTGTAGTCATTGGGAGAGACGCTAGGGTAGGGGGGACAAGCCTAGAAGTGGTCTTTGGGTTTGACCTGGGTGCCATCTTGAATTCCCCCCCAAATTTCTTATGTCCTCCTTTGATAGCAGGAAGTGGTTTAACCTAGAGCCAGAGAAGAGAAAGGATTCAGGATTAACACCAACACAGTGTTTAGACAGCCTCATTTATGGTTGGTGTCTAATACTTGAAAAGTCCCTTTTGTTATTTCTCAAAACTCTAGGATGTAGATGGGGCAGATAGTACTGACGCCAGTTTATGGATAAGAACTTTAGGCTCAAGGATTTTAAGTACCTTGCCCTGTGCTATACAGAAAACCAGTGGTAAAGCTGATATTACATGATTTTTATTGTTATAATATCATGAAGATGCCTCACTTTGTCAAAGAATTGTTCATTTCCTTCTAATACCTGACTGTATATTTTCACATGGTGGGAAATCTAAATATGTTTTTGCCAGTCAGCAGGCAGGGGCTGGCTACACAACATTAGCATGCTAGTTGCTACTAATTTATAAGCACCTGGAGCCTCATAGAGAAAATAAATACGTATTAAGAGCAAATGGGCCCGCTTAAATAAGTTTTAAGTAGAATGTTCATGGTCCAACAGCTAACTTGCCTTGTTCAGCAGGAAAACCAAAACACACAGGTTTTAAGAGCAGAGATTCTTGTTACCTCCTCGAAGGAAATATCCAAATCTAAGTCGTCTTCAAATCCGTCATCATCCTCACTGACTCCCATGTCGGTTGTATAGCGGGGTCCATAGCGGCCACTTCCTGCCTCCTCAGGGCCTGCACAGAGAAAGGAGTACACTGTTGTCAACATATGCCTTCCCTCTGCCCCTTTCTATCCTAATTCAGCCACAGACAGGACTCTGCCAAATGCATCGCGATGTCTTGGAAACACACAAAGAATTCAACACGGAAGAGGAAGCATCAACGACTAACAAATAGAAAATGTTTCATCTCGTAAGTATTAAGGAAATGCTAATTAATGCCAGAAAAAGCTGCCGTTTTATACTGACAAGATTGGCAAAAAGGTAAACGCTGGGCAATAAAAGAATATTACCAAGGATGGGATCAACGGGGACTCATACACCAATGTTACATGTGTGCAACCATTTTGCAAAAATACTTGGAAATAAGTAGAAAACGTTCGTACCTTTTGACCCAGCAATCTCACACCAATTTAGCAATCTCACCCCAGCTTACAAAATCTGGAGAAACCCTCCCACATGTGTACCACAACATGTGCAAAACACATTCAGAGCATCACAATTTATAACAGTAAAAAGCATTTCAAATTTGCTATTCATAACAGCAAGTAGCACCCCATATATCTGTCAATAGAGAATGGATAACTGAATTACAGTAATATATATATATATGGAATATATATATATATGGAATATATATATGTGGAATATATATATATATATATATATATATATATATATGGAATAGAATACTACATAGCAGGAGAAATGAATGAGCATTTAATGTGTTGACATGGCTTAATCTAACATTATTCCATGCAAAATATGCAAGTTGCAAAAGAACATATTCAGTTTGATGCCATTTATATAAAATTCAACAACAAACAAAATTTAATATATTATTTAGAGATAAATAAATCTATATATCTAAATATATATATATATATATATATATATATATATATATATATATATATATGGTTTAACTCCCCCAAAAAGTAAGACAATGACTAAAATACCTGGGGGAAGTTAGAAAAGGGATGTGAATGAGGTGTGAGGCACCGAAGCCTTTGGGTGCTCTATAATAGTCTATTTCTTAAGACAGATGCCAGGTACCTGTGAATATTCATATTATTTTTATATGAACTTGATGTATGAAATATTTCATCACAAATTCTTTGAAACAAGAAAGAGATATTGCACTAGAGCAAACAGTGCTACACCCAGACAAAAGGGCCCCTACAAGGTTATCGTGGGTGCCACCATTTCCATCCATCTCAGCAGGACAATGGGATCTTTCAGACCTGGAAGGTGGCCTGAGAAAAACTCTTAGGAGACAAGGCATTGTCCTTTGGGAGATTGTCACAAAATCTACTGATCTGCAGCAGTCCTGCCTTAGGCTCACACAGCTGGCACTCCCCCAGGGTATGAGAGTCTTTCAAAGTGCTGCTCCATAGCACCCCTATTTCCTCCCAATGGGTTTTCACAGGCACAGGTACTGGCTGCCTTCTCTAATCAGGGCACACTGGGCCCCAGCCCTTACAGCATAAACAACCCTGGCAACAGAAACTGACTTTTGTAGGTTGCCAATGCCCATCAGGCATCCAGTGTTTGGATGCCTGGTTAGGAAGGGAAGGGAAAAGAAGGGAAGGAGAGGGGAGGGGAAAGGAGGGGAAGGGGTAGGGAGAGGGCAGGAGGGGAAGGAGACATGACAAACATAAACTGAACTTAAAGCCATTCTGCTTTCAGAATAAGCTAAGCCAAACACCTTTGTCACAAAAGCAGACTCACCCTCCTTTAGGCAAAAAATAGCAAGCAGATTGAAAACAGAAGGATGTGACAGAAAGGACAGAAAGAGGGCGTGGGAAGCCTTCTGGTCAGGCACACTGCTGATCAGAAATCTCTGGACCAGGAAGAGAGAAAGGTGGTGAACAGGTGATCAGGAGACAGCAGGGAAGGAGCCGTTCTCAGGTGTTTGGGCACATTTTGGTGGAGGAGAGATGACACAGGGGATGTGGTGTTCTCACCACCCTCACATCAATTCTCCACAGTTTTATTTAAAATAGCCCACGTGTCAGTGGAAAATTCAAGCCTGTTGATTCCAGGTTTATACCTGGATGCAAGTTCTCTTAAGCCACCTGCATCCAGCCTGCACAGCTGTGTGCCAGATGTCTTCACACAAAAATCCAGGAATCTTGGAACAAACACCACTTTCCTCTTTCTTGTCTCTCTGTATCTGTGTATCTTTCCACCTCTCTCCTCGGCTCTCTCTCTTTTTCTGGGTCCTTTTCTTACTCTCCATTTCTATGTCTATCTCTCTCATGTATTCAAAATCGTCAGATTAAAGAGGAAATATTCCATTTGTCAGTAAAAGTACTATATAGCACATATGTGAAGAGAGCTGGGTCTTATTTCCAGGAAGCTGGCCTTTCTACCCCCAAGCTGTTCTCTCTGCCCTGTGCACATTCTTGCCATTCTTGTACTGTGTTCACCAAAGTCAAGGTACTCTTCACTTCGTCTTATGATGCCCTATCTGAAAAATAAAAACTTTCAAAGACTACCACCACTTACAAGATAAATCCTAGGATCTTGGTTGAGAATTCAAGGATCTCAATGGTAACTCCTTGTTTTCCCTCCTTTTTTTTTTTTTTTTTTTACCATTTATTTATTTTTGAGAGAGAGAGAGAGAGAGAGAGAGAGAATGCGACGCAGGCTCTAGGCTCTGAGCTGTCAGCACAGAGCCTGAGGTGGGGCTCGAACTCAAGGACTACGAGATCATGACCTGAGCCACAGTCGGATACGTAGCCAACTGAGCTACCGAGGTGCCCCCTGTATTCCCTCCTTCTTTCCCGCATCACCATGATTTCCTGAAACCTACTTTCTCCCCCGCAAATAACAGGTATGGTTGTGTGCGTAACATAATACATTTCTAAACTTTATAATAATCTTGCAAAGTAATTATGGCTCATTTCACTTTGTAGATAAGTAAGTTGAAGCTCAAAAAGGTTAAATGATTTGACTAAGATCAAAGGCTTTGTAACTGGCCGAGCCTGCCTCAAAGCCAGGTCTTTCTGGTTGCCACTTTCCCAGTTGTCTGTAAGAGAAGCAGCCACTATGGAGGTGGAAAGAGCCTGGGAATTAGAAAATCAACATTTATTGACCATTTTTACTGTGCCAGGAACTTTGCATGCATTGTTTTTATTAATCCTCAAAAAGTCCTGTAGAAGTAGTATTACCTCCATTTCACCGTGTGGAGATAGAAACTCAAAAAGATTAAATAACTTGCTCAAAGGCATGCAGATGATAAATGGCAGAGCTAGCATTTATCTTTGGTCTCTCTTTTGACTGCATCATACTATTCATAATCTGATTCCAAATTGTGTTTTCAGCCTTTTTTCCCCTATTCAAAAGTCCTAGTGGCCAAACTGGTCTACCAGTTGTCTCCTTAATATATCTTGTGTTTTCTCACCCCAAGACTGGTCATTATGTTTTTCCCCACATTACCATCTTTTCTTCCTCTCCTATATCCTACACATAGCTTACCTATCCTTCCAACTGCACGCATTCTGCGGAGACAGAGCTGAATGTACATCATCAAAATGCTAAAATCAAGTGATATTTTAAAAAGAGAACATCAGACTCTTTCCAGAGAAAAAATGGTTATTCCACAAAAGAGGGAACTACCAAGACCTCTAGGATGTTCCTCCAGCTCCTCCTGGTTAGGGTTATCCACCCATGGATGTGTGCTTCTAAATATGAGCTTGGAATAAACTTCCATATCTTGATAAAATCAGCATATATTTGAGGTGCTATTTCCACTGTCTGGACTCCAGGCCCTGGAATGCTGCCCTTGTGTTTCCCAACTCAGCAGTGAACCCCTTGACGGCAGGAGCCATAATTTTAGACTTCTTGACATCCTTTTTATTCATCCATTTAAATAACACTTCACATACTCATCAAAGCTCCCTCTAGGTACAGAAGACTCTCCCACAATGGCTCTGTCCTGACATTCTGGCTCTGTCCTGGCCTGGCCTAGCTGGCCATGCCTATTTAAGCGAGAGAATATCTGGAGGGGAATCCTTACAGGGTGAGACTCTGCCCCTCATCCAAACATATTCCCATCAAACTACCACCATCCTTGTCCCTTTTCAATTCATCAATGTCCCTTGTCCCAACTCAGACTAAAGTTGAAAGTTCAAAGAGAGCCTAGACACCATCCAGTCCAAACTTCCCATTTCATAAATATGTAAACTGAGGCCACAAAGAAAAGTGACTTGAGATCAAGTTCATGCATCTCATTAGAAGATCTGGGGCCATATTTGGATCATATGACCTCTAGTTCAATATCCATAATACCCTCTCATGCAGACCTTTTGGTGCTAAGTATCTAATAAGATACTTCAATCAGGAGAACACAGAGAAACTGAGGATGGGTGCAGGTAGCTGAGGTCTCCTCTTGCCCATTAGCCCACCTAGGAAGCCTGTCTTGAAGGCAACTCCTTAGAGAAAAGGACCGCAGATGCATTGCAGCAGCTATGAAATGGTACCTTGATGAGAATGGAAATCATTCCAGATTCCCTGTTCTTTCCAATGAGTAAAATAAGGCATATATTATTCATTGGATAAAATCCTTTGGTATTTATAAAAATTAGTCTGTTTCGGGGCGCCTGGGTGGCGCAGTCGGTTAAGCGTCCGACTTCAGCCAGGTCACGATCTCGCGGTCCGTGAGTTCGAGCCCCGCGTCAGGCTCTGGGCTGATGGCTCAGAGCCTGGAGCCTGTTTCTGATTCTGTGTCTCCCTCTCTCTCTGCCCCTCCCCTGTTCATGCTCTGTCTCTCTCTGTCCCAAAAATAAATAAACGTTGAAAAAAAAAAATTTAAAAAAAAAAAATTAGTCTGTTTCAACACGATATCACATATCTTTTTGAAGTCAGAGGCTACTTCTCAGTTTGGGGAAACAAAGGATGTGAGATAAACAAAGGGAAAGGAATATGGAATTACAAGAGTCAAAGAAATTTTGACTTTTAAAGAAAGACTTTAGAGATCAGCGAGCACAAGCCCATTTTACAGAAGAGTAATCTGAGGCTCATAGAGTCCATGTGACTTGCCCAGAGGGACAGAGCACTGGTGGCAGAGCTGATCTAGAATTCTGGGCTCCTGATGATGCTTTCTGCTATCCTTTACAACCTGTCAAATTCCCTATCCCTCATAATAACCCGGGCTAATAGTAATTTCCCACCTTTAAGGAAAAGAGTACAGCATGGCTAGAAGAAAGCTGGAATAAATCTCTCTACTCTTGTTCATGGACGGCCTCACCACCTCAGAGTTCAAATCCACAGCTTACATGAAGTTTTTACCAATGCCGTTTCTAAGTGAACACGGAATGCACAGTCCGAGATAGTGATAAGAATTCTCAGTGGCCTGGGGTTGTTGTAATTAAAGTGCACAACTTATCTCTTTCTGCTTGGCACACTGTTAATTAGGAAAAGAGAACATTAAAAAGGAAGCATTTATTTAGAACCAGAATAGTCAAACCACTCACTGAATGCAAAACAAGTTCAAGGGTTATTCCACTAGAGGAAAAACTAATATACAAAATACAAATTACTGTTAATAAGTTAAAGGATGACTTA